CGGACACACCGCAATCTGATAGTTTAGAAAATGATCATCTGATGACGGGGAAATGATTCCACTGGTGAACATTATAATGCCCTGGTGCTGCCGTGTTTGGCTGGCTTCATCAGGCCTGCCTAAATAATGCTAATTTCTCTATGCAAGACGCATCAGAAACACCACTTTTAATATTGCATACGACCAGTGCACGCTGCGCCTGTCTAGACTTGCGCAACGTGAGTGATCAGCTGTCTTGTCTTTAGTCGTCATGCCTTCTGAGCGCCGGAAGGTTGTCACAGTCGGACAGTTCGTTTTTCCTAGCTTTTCCCGAAAGAGGAAACGCTTACAATCTCAAAGGGAAATGATGATAAGTGACGCGGAGGTTAGCAACCATTAGGATACACTTGCGGTTGGACATGCAAAAGACAGACTTATATCAGTATTGAGATGAACAAATAAGGCAGGCGACTTCCGAAATGCGACCGTCGAAAATGGAAGTAAGTTGCTGGCTCATGGTAGAAGACTGGGACCTGCACAGTGAGTTCGATGTTTCAACCACCACTGACTAAGGATTAAACATTACTGAGATGGGGAGATAAAGCAAGTCGGTGTGAGCCGTGGGGTTAAGCAATATGTGGCCTCATCCGGTTAACGGATGGAAACTACGGAAGCAGCCAACCCACTACCAGAACTTAAGCGAAACCAGCAGTGATTCGTTGGTTGGACCACAGTCAACGGATACCTAAATTAGCTCTAGAAAAGTGGGCATCCTATGCATCTTACCTAGCGTTTCGGCAACCTAACGCAGACAAAATGGTATATCCAGCTAAAAAATGAATCTCGCAAACATTAAGAGTGCTCTAGCGACAAGGCAGACCAGAGTGCCTACCACATTTTGCATAACTTTCCAATTGGACGACACAAAGACCCTACCAAACGTGAGGATGGAAACAACTTCCCACCCACAATGACCTAATTTACTTTGGGCAGACTAGTAAACAACTAAACGTTCGATCGATGAATAAAGTTCGGGCTGCTCAGAGGAGTCGATCGAACTGCAGTGGGACCCAGCGATGCACTCCATATCAAGAACGACCGAGTAAATCCTGATGGCCTACACATCTTAGGACAAATCCTGATATGCCAAATTTAAGGTCAGCAGGCCACAATTTTCGTTATATATAGGATGTCTGCAGCCTCATCTTTACATTTTATTTAATGTAACTACTGTCTTTTTCTGTCTGACAGCTATCACAACTACCACATCCATCTCACCAGCATGCCCTATACGACCGATCGAGTCTAGTCCCAACAGGCAATCAAACAACAAACCACATTGTAAGTCGATCCATCCGATTATTAGATAAAGTGAGGAAATCAGTGCTTTCCAACAAGAGCAACTGGTAATCAATGTTCAAACCGGTTTATTTAAAAGGCAACGCCGAAAACGGGTGATTACACATCGANGCCGAAAACAGGTGATTACACATCGACAGAGACTCGAATGTCGTCGATTTTGAGGATCATTTTGCAGAGCTGTACGGCTAACATGATTTGGGCGCGCTTGGAGCTCAGTGTCTCTAAAACGTTGAGAGTTTTCATGTCGTTGCACCCCAGATTCAAACAGTCAACACCGAGATGTGGGTTATTATCTGCGTGCTGACGGGCTTTCAGTTCGGCGACCGTAGAAATAGGTGGTAATCCCGAATTTTCGGCCAACGCCATTGGGATGGCCTCAAGAGCGTCTGCAAAGGCGCGCATTGCGTACTGTTCCATTCCTTCGACTTTATCCGCTTCTGCAGATACGGCTAGCGCACATGCGATCTCGCTGGCACCGCCCCCAGCAACAACGCGCGAGTCTCTGACCTGAAAAGCGAAAAGGATCAAGGTAGACGCCGCTAGCACGTAACCATCAAATTAATGCATGAAGCTGGCTACAAATGGCTTGGTCAATGGGGAATAATATGGATTATTTGAACCAAAAGGATGCAGTTGTTGGCATGGTAACATATGCACCCCCAGGGCTATCAATATTATCACACAGTGGGGTGGTGGAAAATCGGAAACCAGATGTAAAACTAAACGACTAGTTCTCGCAGAGTAAATAAAACAAACACAGATCATTCGAAACAGAAGAACTGACACTTACAAGATTTCTGACCACACATAAGGCATCGTGTAACGAGCGCTTAGCTTCATCAACCATCATTCGTGAGGTGCCACGAAGGAAACAGGTAACTGCTTTAGAGTTGACGCAGTCCTCAATTACAAGCATACGTTCCTTCGTGGTACCGAACGATAACTCCCGAACTGTCCCCGCCTTGCCAAGTTTGTCAGAAGACAATTCCTCGAAACGGGGTACGATGCGGCCACCAGTAGCTATGGCAATCAATTCAATTTCAGGTCCACCGACCCAACGCACGGCTGGTAGTTGCTCCTGTAGAAGTAGATGATTAGCCTCGTCATCGAATCCCCATTGGCAAATAACCAGATTCGCTCCGGCGTCTTTGACCCTAAAAGATAACGAAAAAGGAAAATTGACACTCTTGTTTATTGCAAGAACTTGGTACACTCGAGGCGAAATCAGTTATCGATCAGCTCAGATGATCCCCGGTATGACGAGCGCACCAGTTGCTTAGCACAACCGATGGGGCGCAACTAGATTGTTTACTGTGGGCCAGTCGTCTACCAAACCATCCAATACAAATCAGTCGCCGACTCCATTCATCAAAAACCATCAGACGTACCACACTATCCAATGCAAATCAGTCGCCGACTCCATTCATCAAAACAAAGGTCGACATGGCTCAGTGGTTAAAGAGCGAACTTACTGACCGGAAGGTTCGTGGTTCGAACCCGACTGCTCTGTCTAAGCTTGGGTAACCTGAAAGTAACTCGGCCCTCGTGCTTCCTTCCAAGGCATGACAGCTAGGAACTGAAAGGGTGCTGCAGAGACAAAGCTCTGGAGTTAGCAGTGGTCGGACAGCGAAAACATCTGCCTGCTACCAGGTAGATCACAAGCATTGCAGTATTGGAAGACAAACTGGTGTTCAATATTAACAACATAGGATTCGAACGCCGGTGAACACATTGGACTCCCATTCAAACGACAACTGAATTGTGTCCCACTGTACTGAGAGTAATGCGGTTAGTTTTATTAGCCTTTACATTCAGGTTGGACATGAGACACTATAAATTTTGGAGTGAAATAAACAGAATAACACGGTCATTGGCGTCATCAACGCTGTCACCATATCGTACATTTTGAACTTTGGTCCCGTACACACGATTCCCAAAACTTAAAATTCCATTTTAATGCATAGGGCAGCAGCCCATAAAACACAAACCTCAACCCTGAAATTCGTTGTTTGAACTCATCCGTCATAATGCCACAAACTCAAATCGACCACATTGTCATCAGTTACCGGTGGCGCGGATCAATAACTGACTGCCGGTCATCTTGGAACACATTTGTGACCACGCGCTCGTCCGGAGTCGCTTCTCCCTAAATTTCCCTGGGCCGCGTAAGATGCAGACAAATCGCTTGGCAACTGAGAGACTGGCAGATCCGGATGTTAGACGAATTTACAAGAATCGTCTAGAGTCTCCTCCAAATGATACACCATCAGATGTGGACTCACACCGGGACGGGATTGCCACCTCAGCATATTGCTGAAAATTTTGCATGTGGCACGACCCAACCAGGCACACCCAAGCATTGGATATCAGACCGAACGGGGGCACTAATTAAATCTCGAAGAAAT